TTAAACCAGTAAATACTGCGCTATGTTTATTGGGGATAGGGAAAAAGGATAGCCATGTCTCTGGAATTGGCAGTTCCCGTTTAAGGACAACTGGTATTTAATACTAGGCCCAAGGTCATTAGTACATTACTGTGTTACATCTTACATCGGTAAGATCAGAGAGACTGTACTTGGTCATGGCCCTGTTACCTTGTGCAGGAAAACCCTAAAATATAATACAGTTATGAACAAAGCGCTGTGGTTACATGTTGCAGCCTAAAGCAGGTTTACAATATGCGCTCTTGAGGTCATAAATATAGAACAGAGTTGTGTGAATATAGCTTTCCTGAGTTCACTTAATTCAATGACCTTGTTTTTATTTGTGTACATACTGCATTTATGTAGTAATTTATGAGTTTCCCAGTTAATCCCATCCAATAAAGCATAAACTTTTGATGTTGTTTTGCATTGCTGAGAAAAGTAAACTAATATTAACTCCTTAAAGACAACATTCACCAATCTGGTCACTCAAGATCCTGTTCCAATTCAACTAAGCCAAGGTCAAGCTAATACTTCCATGTGGCTTACTGCCCTGTTATATCTCCCCAAACAGTGGTGGAGCTACCGCTGGTGCTAGTGATGTGGCTGCATTGGGGCCTGCACACTAAGAGGGCCCATCGGGAGGTCCATTCATTCATTTAGGGCCACCTGGTAGGCCTGTGTCAACAGAAGCCCGGTCGGTTGCTGTGGACCTTTAACAGTGTGACCTGGCACCTTTAATATCAACAGCCTGGGAGGAAGTGAGAGCCGATTACTTTCTACCAGCTAACAAATATGGGGGAAAGAGGGTAAGACAGAGAAGAGAGGGTGTGGATCAGGAGAGTCAGCACCTAACTCCCAATAGCCTCATCCTGCAGCCTGAAACCCAGGGAGGCTACACTCCTGCACCCAAAAAGGTAGGAAACTGGCGGGTGGCTATAAAAGTGTAAATTTTGGCCAGTAAATGTGTCTGTATGTCTGTCTGTCTGTATATCAGTGTGTTAGTCTGTGTATCTATATATGTGTTGGTGTGTATCTGTGTGTGTGTCAGTGTTTATCTGCGTGTTTGTGTGTTGGTGTGTGCATCTGTGTATCTGTATGTTGTCGGTATATGTATCTGTGTATCTGTATGTTTATCTGTGTGCCTGTGTATCTGTATGTGTGCCAGTGTGTATATCTGTGTACCTGTATCTTTATGTGTGTCAGTGTGTGTATGTTTGTCTGTCTACCTGCATGTGTTTCAATGGGTGTACCTGTGTATCTGCATGTGTGTCAGTGAATGTATACATGTATATCCATGTGTGTCAGTGTGTGTGTCTGTGTATACGTACTTACATCTCAACATTAAAACATCAAATGTGACAAACTGCCTTTTGTCACTAGCTGTTTATGTGACCCACTGTCCTTTGCCCCTGGGATTTGGAGCTTGATTGCCAGCCTCCTACCTTATGACTATGGCCACTGGGAGATTGGGCACTTTAAAAACAGTATTTGGGCATAATGGATTTTTATTGTGCTGCTGCTGTGCGGAAGTAGTCTAAGTGGCCACCATTCGAAAATCGAACACGTGGCGGCGGCCATTTTAATTCATTCGAACGTGGTCAGCGGCGTGTGCAGCCAATTCTATGGAATTGTTTTCAGCTACCCAATTGCACAAACACCGCTGACCCGTACCTTCTCCTCCACTTCGACACTGCGGCTGGAGACTAAGTCCCGTTCGAAGATTCGAACTCTTGTTCGAATGGGACTTAGTCATTTTTCTCAGTGTAAATTAGACCGACCGCACAGCCCAAATCCATGGAACTGTTTTGGGCATGAAAATGTGCTTGCGGTCGGTCACAAAGGACTTCCAGCTAACGTTTGAAATACTTGATGGAATTGTCTGATTTTTGGTTATGTTTATATTT